AGGACTCATATCACCGAACGCGGAAGTCGCGTAGAGCTATAGCAATTATGAGGTGCCTGGTTGCAGATGTTTGCTCAGGACGTCTTTCGGCAACTTATAGTCCCCTACCCAAGCGCTCCTTTACCCTTTCATGATTGATGTACGGTACAATGGCGAAAGTAAAGGCTGATATGCCGTCTGAGGAGTGAGTCACTTGGAACACCTGTTCATTTGCGTTGAAAATTACTCAGTGACCATGGCCTATTGCCTTGCGTCTCGTAAATTATTTACTTATTGATCACTATGTTGCAAAATCATTGCGTCATATTTAGTATCTACTGATGTCATTTACGAACGTTAGTATTTACTGAACGCTCGAGTGCCGCCGACCCTTCACTGTATTTGATAGTCTACTTGTCGGCACTACTTCCGTCTATGCAATTTTTCGGTTTCAATACTGTTGTTCGTCAGAAGTGGGAATTTAAGTTATCCATGCCTAAAAAAATGGCTTAAAAGAACCATAAACGGTCAGTTCTGATGTTGGCTGCATAATTACCACTATCGCCTACAGCTGCTCCGGATATTCATTGTTGATAGTCAGCGGCTGAGCTCTTGCTAACTATGAAACAGTTTTATCGTAGAGCAACTTTATTCACCCAAATCGCCTTTCTCCTCTTCTTTACTTTATCCAATATTCTCGAATTTTCTTTGCTCCCATGCATTTTTCGCTGCAAATGTTCTATTATCGTACCTCCTGACTATCTCGAGACGCTCGCAATTTCTAGCAAAATCAGAAGGAACTTTTTTGAAAGTCTCTAGCGCCAATGCGTGCTGAGCCCTGGCTGACTGGGTGCTAGCCTTTGTTCGTGTTTTCAAAATTGCCTGACTTAGAAAATTTGAACTCACTGGAGCTAATGGTTTTGCATCTTTCAGCTGTGCCCCAATTCCACCTATATTTACTATTTTGGCGAGTGTAGGCCTCGGGTAGTCATAAAGTTCATTTGAGTTCACCATCACCTGAAGTGCAAGGCTAGAGTTCAACCACATCAATAGTTTTCTGTGATCTACCAGTGGGCACTGCTTCGCCAGATCGAGCAAATCTGGAAAGTTGGGATCAACCAATTCACGGAACAAGGCGGTCTCTTTGTCGGTTACTATCCTGTGCAAAGATTATTATAGCTTACACCGCTACTTATCATTGGTAGCATTGTCTCCATATACATAAAGATGTCTCAAATCTCATAAAGGCGGGCCTTAACCTTTGTCTCACCTGTCTATACGCCTGTATCCATGTATGTGTACTTTGTTCTAAGTAGACAAATAAACTGATCTGGACTCGACCTTGCACACATAAACTTGGGGAGGGTGTCGTAGAGTACTTTAAGTTATCAATCAAAATCGATTTTATCGAGTTTTGCAAAATTTGAGTTACGGAGATGCGAGTTGACACAAGCGGTAAGTAAGCGTGCTGACGAGTAACATCACTAT